CCCCAAAACCCCAAAACCCCAAAACCCCAAAACCCCGTAAAGTAATTATAAGATTGAAAGGGATTTATGATGGAGAGAGGACTGGATGAGAGCAGGAATAGAGGACTTTCGATGACACAAATGGATATTATGCATACTTATGAAGACCAGGATGGGAGAGAGGATGGGATGTCTGATGTTAGAGGTGAGGAATTGGGGTTATAGGTGGGAGATTTGGGTTTTAGGGTCAAATTATGTTTAGCGAAATGAGAGGATTATGACTCGAATCATCTTACTCGAAATATATGTGATGAGGGTGTAGATTTACATAATGGGAAGGGATTGAACAGAGTCCCTACGAAGAACTCTATTGGTGAGCAAGAAGATCAAGATGAAAAAGGTAGTAATTTAGTTATTATCAGCAAGAAAAACCACTTCTATAAGAGATATCAAATGTATGAAGGAAGAAGTAAATTCTGGTGTAAGGGAAAGCTACTTACAGGCCCAAGACCTCTTGTCATAGTTCTAACTCTTTTTCTCATACATCTACCTCTTGTGATTTATTACAGTCTAGTTGTCCCTCGGATTGAAGATAACTTTGAAAAAGTCTTGGTCATAATCATTTCTGTGTTTCTAAACTGTACAACTATTGTGCTTATGATTGTCACTGCAACAATGAACCCGGGAATCATTCCAAAACTAGGGGTCGACCCAAAATTGTTATTTAAAATATCTAAGGCTAAACCAAAGTCAAAGAGGCACATAATGAAATATAACGGACTCTTGGACTATCAATCTTATTGCGGGACATGCCAGATAATCCGTCCTCCTAGGTGACACCATTGTCATTTCTGAGGAAATTGAGTTGAAGTTTTTGATCATCATTGCCCATGGGTAAGCAATTGAATAGGCAAGAGGAACTATTCGTACTTCATCGGGTTCATCACAAGCCTTTCTTTAGTCTTCATCTTATGAATACTTATCAGTATCAAGTCGTTAATTGACCACCAGGATGGGAGTGAAATGAATTGGGACAATACTCCCAACATTGTGGTTATCTCTCTCTGTGTTGTGGTTGGGGCCTTCCCAGTAGGATTGACAATTTACCACTATGCTCTGATTCTCCGAGGTGAGACAACGTACGAGAACTTAAAAAGACTGTACAAGATCAGAAAAAATCCTTTTAAAAGAGGCTTTGTCTATAATATTCGCATGAAAATGTGACAAAAGAGTAAGTCTTGTCACTTAAGCTTGTCGAGTCCGAAAATGCAATGGCCGAGGCATATGAGGGAGACATACCTTAGCAACATAAATAATTCACATTATCAAGCATATCTATCTTTGAAAACTTTACCTTTACTCAATTTTCCAAAATAAATAATATGATGCTTAATTGTAGTCCAATGTCATTTGGAGCTTATAAATTTTTGTGACTAATTTTTAAGCAAAAAGTTCTTTCTCTTGAATAACCGGAGCAAATGTATCACCTCCAAAATGATACGCAGACGGGCTAATCAGAACATATATCCAAATTTTAAATTTAGCTGCTCTATTTCTGGTTCATGCTTGGAAGAATTGCATAAAGTGTTAAATCAGAATAAAAATTTGGCCTAATTTCATATAGAAAATTATATAGAAAGAGCACCTTGATAATCTTGAGCAGTTTTTATACAAGTTTGTATGAAAATGAGTCATGAATTGAACCTTAAGTTACTTAAATATTATTACCAAGATTAGCAAGTTTTTTCTCAATATCTAAGCCGAAACTATCTCTAATCCCAGAGATAATGAAATTCATATTTCACTGCATTCTTGTACAAGAGAATCATGCAAGCATTGATCATTTTTAATCCAACTTTTTGTGGCTGAATCTCAAACCTCTATTAAAGTATCGCATCAATAATCACCAATCGATAAAGCCATGGCCACTACAGCTTTAGTAAATCGTTGCTGTATCTAACAGATTTGTTACCAGAATCAAAACAATTATTAAGCTTTGTTTCAACTCAAGTCTTAATAAATGGGGTTTTGGGGTTTTGGGGTTTTGGGG